GGTTCCTGCAATGTGTAAGGCTGCCCAATAAGAAGAAATCTAAGGAGTTGGAAACCATTTGGAAAAATCCTTGACACTATCTCATGTTAGATGTGCACGATTTTGCCTCTACCACTGGAAAACACTTCCTATTCTCAATGCCAGGCTCTCTACATGGGTTCTGGCAGCAGTATCTCTTCATTAATGACCATCACCAACTATCCCAGGCTGTCTCTCAGATTACAGACTGCACCTGCTGCCAATCAAAAATAGCCAGAACTTGCTTCTGTACATTCCTTAGTTTCCATTTCTGCCCAGACACTGAGTTTTGTCTGGCATAACAAGTAGTGTATCACTTTAATAAGTTGTGTTATAACAGAGTTCTACTAAATATTATATAGAAATAATCATCACATTCAGGAGTGCTCATTAGAAAACTAAAATAGTTTGTGATTCAGTTTCAACATTAGTGTCAAAAGACTCCTGAGATGCTTTAACTTGAAGGGACATGATCTAAAGTACCATCAGACTTAGGGTTACCCCTAGGGAAAAATATACATTTTATATTTAGCAAATATCTCCCTTACTTATATGAGCAATTTGACATCCTGCTAACTTTTGCCTAAATTCATTCTCTTTATCATCTTTATAAAGGCATATGCCCTAAGGCTGTCTATTTCTAATAAAGTTCCAATACAATGAAAAACAGAAATCCTAAATTATGATACTGTGTTTGCTGACTATCTGTAATTGATATTATGGGGTAGGGGTAATGTGATTTGAGCTACAATGTATTTTGAAGGGGTCCGGAATATGTCATTGTGGCCTAAAAAATTATTTTGAGTTGAAGGCACTATAGTTCCTGAAAAATCTTATCTACCTAAAAGCAGAGCCTCTCAAAAGAACTCAATTGTCATAAATCCTCTCCATAGGAGCAACCAGGGAAGACTGAATCTTATCAGCAGAGATAAATCTCCACAGCACACTTGAACAGACATTGTCACAAAACTATCATATCTCTTATAAATTCTCTAATAGGAAAGACCGATTTATCTTTCCAAAAAATTATTCGTTTTCCTATAGGTTCCCTTCCTGCCTGGTCAGCCCCTCTATTAGGAAATCATTTTTTCCCCCATTAATGCCCTTCTCTCTCCCCTTCTCCTATTAAGATGGTATATAAGCCACAAATTCTAACCCTTGGCCCATTTTAGTCATGTTTTTCTGTGGTTAAGTCTGTCTTTTCTCTTGCTTATCTATCTCTTATCAGTTTAATTGGAAGCTCCCCAAATAATGAACCTAAGAGGGTAAAGTTTTTCCTCTCTGACAATTTAAAACTATGAAATACACTGTATTATGAGTGTATATGAAAACCACTGAACTTTTTAAACCATAATTGCAGTCAAACAATGATATGATTAATACTTCCTCTTTAAGTCTTCCTCTTTCCTCGCTTTTCTTTAAACTTCCTCTTAATCTTTGTTTCTCTTATACTGTTTTCAAGTATTATTCTCATAAGTATAATTTAGCAGAAATAATTTGTTTTCTCTTTCTACTTCTGATAAACCAGAACAGATAATTATTAAGTGTTAAAAATGCTACTCACTTTTTGCCAGTTTATAAAAACCTCTCAAGTACAATCAAGCTAAAACATCATATTGATTAAATAAAGCAAGTTGCTATTTCACCAACCACTGAGAACTGGAAGCTTTCTGAAATATACAGAATTAAAACACAGTCACTTTGTATAAAACAATGATATTCCCCTCACCAGAGCTTATTGTTTTAAAACTGAGTTGATGATAAAAATAAAAAGACAAACCAAGAAAATTAGTCCCAATTGGCACAAAGATAAATACTGTGTAGCAAAATATGAAAAAAAAAAAACATAGGGACACCCCCCTCCCTCCAGAGAAAAGCCTTTCTGCTCAGATGGCCTCAACCCTTCCCTTGGCATTTGGTTCTTTGAAGTTAACCTCAATTAGCTAACCTCCCATGGCTCAGAAGCACAGGGATGCTGGTGCCCACTATTAAGACAGCCTTTCCACACAGCAGCCGTGTGTGCTGCGACACTATCATCCAGCTGTGCAGAAAAGCAGTATGTGCAGTCTGCACATCGCTTTACTGAAAAATCACAATCAAGGGTGCATGGCAGGTTGGATCGCCAACCCATGCCTTGACAAGCTGTATCAAAAGAAAAATTGCCAAGATACCCATTGTGTTAACTTTACATGCTTGTCAACAACCTAAGATTATTCCCTTTGGCAGGTTCAGCTGACCATGTCCCTGCTGACAAACCTCAGGGATGGTTCTGCACTGGCTACAAAACATCCAAATGTGACTGTCTGTCCCCATCCCTTTCAAGCCTAGTGCTGCACCTCAAACCAGCCACAAACTCCTAGCAGCAACCAGAAATCAAGGCTCTTTCCCACTTCCCTCTGCTTGAAACATACTTCCTTTGTTTTCAGAGCTAACTGCTTCTCTTCCTGCAAGACACAGCTCAACTGTCCTCTCTTCCAAGAAACAAACTATTTTCCCACTGGGCACCCACAGCACATTATCATGGTTCCGAGCGGTACATACATGTCTCTGTCCCAGCTTCACCAACAGCCTATGGGGGTGTAGATTCTCACACTTCCAAATATAATTCAAAATTATATTTCCAGTCGCAGAAGACAGTAAGCACATACAAAGTGCTTCGTAATTGGATGAGTGCATAGATGAACAAAACAATGAATAAGCAAGCAAATGAACAACTAAACTAATGGAAGAACTTTCTGGTTGTTGAACTTTCTGAAGAGGGAAGGGTCTTTGTTTAGTCCTCAGTAACATTAAGCCCTAGCTGATCCCTGAAACACCCTGAGCTCCTTACCTCCTTTCAGCTACTCTTCAACTCCACATGCTTATTTCACTTCTACATATCTTCAAATCCAATCCCCACATTCAATCCAATATTTTACCACCTCAGAAGCTCCTGCTTTTTATTTCATAACTGCCCTTGTGTAGTACCTGTAATAACCTACTTGCACTTGTTTCTATAAAGGCTCCCATCTAGACCAAAAGCCCCTCGGGCCCAATTCTTTTGCCCCTGTAATCCCAGAGCCTAACACAGTGCCTGACAAACAGCAGACACTCAATATATATGAGATGGATAAGTGAATGAATGAAGAAAGGAAGATATAACAGTTTTCACACTTTGCTTTTCACTTTCTTTTAACTAAATTATCTAATTTTTCCAGGTAGACTATGATCAAAGAGAGATGATAAGGGAAGACCAAATCATTTATAGTGAAATCGGTGCTTTAATTAAAAATCTGAATACCAGTCTTTTTCTATATCAATATTCACAGATTATCGTCATCTTATTGTCTCTCAGTGTCTATTCTCAACAGCAGAATAGTTTAACAAGTTTTGTTATTGGATAAGGTTGAATCAATCACAAAACTTATATAGGCTATTGTTGCTAGTACCCAAATCTGTCCGGCTCTGTGCCAAGATCTTTCACATATATTTTTCTTAATATTCAAAAACACTCCAAAAGGGTTGCACTTAGAAAATGGGAGCTGAAAAAGGTTAAATAATCTTCCCCATAGTAACTATGCTAGTAAGTTGTAGCACCTAGGTTTACACCCTGGTCCATTCAAACCTCGTACTTTTTAACTAAAATGTCAAAAATCCTAGGCCTTACTTCTTAAGACTAGAATAATGGTACAGACCGGATTTCAAAAGCCTGTGCTTTTATCTTCACTATTACCAGCCGCTAAAATATCATTTATCATTATTAGATATTTTATTGAATCCTTGTTAGCCACCAAATCACTAAAGAGCACAGAAGTCCCCGGGAGAAACAAATGCTGCTTTGGAAAGGCCCCGTAAGTGTGGCAGCTCCAGGCTCTCAATCTAAACAGGGCCCTCCTATTGCTGAGACACTCTGAGGTCCCAGCAATTCTCCAGGATTTCTTTAAAACACCAAGAACCAGGGACTGAGAAAGGGCACTCTGACCAAACAGAGTCAAACTGGTACAACCTTTCTATAAAGTAATCTGTCAACAAGTATTAAAAATCATAAAAATAGGCATATCCTTTGACATAGCAAGTCCACAGGAAGTAGTTGGATAATGTCCAGAGATGTATGAATAAGAACCTAAAAATCAAACAATAGCAGATTGATTAAACTATCCAATATGCAGACATATGATGGTATATTATGCAATAATTAAAATGGCGATACACCTATATATTTCTGCTGTGCTAAAATGTCCACAAAATAGTGTACGCGTAAAAAGCAGATCATAAAATGACTCTTCAAAAGCTACATATGTACTTTTTAAAGTATGCAAGAAAAAAATTTTAAAGGCTACAAGTATATTAAAATATTAACAATGGTGATCTAACTGGTGGGATTATGTGTCTGACTAGAAAGTAGAAAAGAACTTTATCTTATTTTTTAAAATGTTTTCCATAATGCCCATTTTATGGCTGCTAAAATAATGATAAATCAATCTCTTAAAAATGCCAAAGAGCTGGAGATCAAAATCAGTCAGGACAGTTTATTTTCCCAAGTCTTCCTTTTGATACCATCGAGTTCTTTAAATTGTTCATAGCTAAAAGCCTGGAGTAAATTCACAGGGGGATTAAGCCGAAAGAGATTTCCCAGTTTTATCTCCTGTTTTCAATTTTTTACAAAATAATATATATTCTTGGACTTATAGGAAAGCTGACACTGAAGGTTTCGTTTCTAGAATTTAAGCTCAGGTCCTGTAACAAGTAAAGAGAGAAAGAATAAGGGCTGTGCATAAAACTCCATTAGCAGAGCACATAATAATTCTTTCTTACTATGACATATAAAGTGCACATGATGAATCTTGGATGGATGAGGCAATATTTTCTACCAATGCCAATTATAAAGTTGGATTTCAAAAGACAAGGTCCAAAAGTAACAGATATTTTTAAAGACCTGACAAAAGTAATTTCAAGATAAAGTAAGAAAATGTCTTCCAAGACCACAATGATGCTCTACATACCTTAGACCCTCAATAAAAATTCCTTGGTTTGAAAACAAACAGCAGGCAACACTCTTCATTTTCCTTCCGATGGATATAGGTAATTTAAAATGTAGTAAGAATTCAAGTAAATACCTAAAAAGAGAAACTATTTAAAATATACTACAAACCTGGGGTTATAAAAAGAATGTTCAGAGGCTTAAGTATGCAGAAAAATACAAATTTTGTTTACAGGGAACAGGTGGTGCTCCAAAAATCTATTTGTAAACAGATGTGTGGAATTCAGAACACATTTTCCCATCAAAACAATGTTATAATAGTGTTAAATCCCAGCCTGGTCCATGAAGCCTACTTAGCTGTTAGAACTATTATCCTACACCTGCATTTTGTGAATGGCACCCATGGTCTAAGTGAAGCAACCCATAACATTCGGGAGGTAGGAGGGGCCCTCCTTCACTGGGAGCCAAAGGCTCAGGTGAGTCCCTCTCCACAGAGGCTCTCCAGCTAAGAGATGCCACCCGCAAGTCATAATCTCTTCCTGGGGGAAGACCATGTCCAAATGACAAGTCAGTAGGGGAGGAAAGGTTTAAAGGCCCTGCTACCATGCCTCTAGGTGAGATAAATTCTGCAGGGCCATTCCAGCTCCAAAGCTCACTTATATCTGCATCACGGTTCAACTCCTCCTCTGCAGAAGCCTGCTTCTCTCACACCCCCACTAGTAATGATGCCAAGGACAACCCCGGTAAACTTCCTGCACATAAATCTCCATCTCAGAGACTATTTCCAAGATCTAAGACAAAAAGTTAATACTTAGTAAGCTCATTTTATAACTCAGGCACTATGTGAGTGTATGTATGTGTGTGTACATGTATATATATATACACACATACATACACACATATATAGTATAATATATATAATGTGTATCTTACTATATATATCTATGGGTAGGTACAATAATCCCATTTTAAATATGCAGAAACTGAGGCTAAGAGACATCGAATGACTTGCACAAGATCATATGGCAAGTAATTTGAGGAGCCAGGATGTGAATCAAGCTATACCCAATGAAAAGCCAATCACTATGTAAACTAACTCCATCTCCTAACAAGAGCTGCTGAATGTATTAAGGCAGACTCTGCAGCCCAGGGGTTACGGTTGAAGTCAAGAATGGGTGGAGTGGTGAACCATGGTCATCCAGAAAACAGGAATTTATAAAAGGACTTGGGATCCAGGCCCACTGAAAATCAGACACTATGATCAAGGGTTCATATATTGTTAGGCCTGAAGCAAAAAAAGTGGAGGTCCAATGGAACAAGAATTCCAGAATAAAACTACATAGTTATAACCTACTGCATGATAACTCAATCCTAAAAATAACGATTGGCAAATCTTGTCCACCTACAATCAAAATGCTACAATATGTGCATAGAGATTTTTACTATGTAGGAGGAAGGTAGTGCTTCCTCATCTTTTACTCCAATCCCTGGAAAAAGCTTCAAAAACATACATAAACAGTATCTAAAAATGTACTAATGAATTTTTTATTGGGGTACAAAGTCTTACAATTAATATTCAATTTACCCAAGATGTACAACTGCAACTGGTTTAACTTCAACTACAACCAGACCATGGCTTCCCCAAGCTTTCCCTAGCTAGCAATCTTCTTTTATAGAATAAGTGGTTATTTATACCTACTGACGAACAGTGAATGACTAAGAACTAATACTATCCTGCACTGAGAGCCACACTGCCAAAGAACTACAAGACATAAAACCATTCTACGAACTCCGAATAACCATAAATTAATACTATTAACTTTAAGCGAAGTCATTTTTTCATTCTTGCAGATGTAGATCACGACTGACTCAAATGGTGAAAACGAACCATTTACAAGTTTAACAGAATGTAGATTTACTACATCCTTGGAAGAATTGTTAGATTTGTAATACAATCACATCATCTAATGTCAAAGTTAAAAAGTTGAAATATACTGTAAGTCCATAATGTCATTTTAAAATTCAAAAATAATTGGGCCTTATCAGTTGATTTATCTAAGAGTTTGCACATATCTGTCGCCACTTCCTTTAAAAATTCACCAAAACCACTTCTCCCATCCCTACCTTATAATGCACAGCTTTAAACGGTAAAACAAAAAGTATCTGTAATTTCCTTATTTATCAATTTTGCACACAGGAGGTCTCAGCATCCATGTTCAGTTATCATCAACTGCAGTGAGCGGTTCTTTGAATTAAAGTAGATCATTCACTGAGATTTCACACCATGTCAGAACCAAGAATTTGGCATCATAAACCTCAGTTCACTGTTCTAAAATAAGTTTGTACCCTTTCTAACCCTGATTACGGCAATGTTAGGCCCATTTCTTCCCTCTTTCCCCACATTCAATTAATAAAACAAGCCCCAAATCAGAAATACACAGCTATATACAGAACTGCTAAATAAACCTGAGTCTGCCACTTCGGAGGACAGTAATAACAGGCACACCATAACAAATGAGGAGATACCAGCCTAAGAAAAAAATTTCTTCACACCACCTTAAAGTGGTCCAATCCTTTGGAGAAAGAAGAGGAAACAGCCAACTTAAGGCTTCCATACAGACGCCCCCCCAAAAAAAGGAAAAACAAGGTACGCTCCACTCTGAGCCCTACAATAACCCTGTCAAGGGGCCAATATAATCAGTGTATATCTTTTCTTCAATTCCACAGGTGAGGAAATTGAGGCTCAGAAAGACTAACCTTCTCAAGATGACAAAGTTCTAAATGGCTGAGCCAGGAGTCTGTCTTCCTTCCCCTCAGTCACATCAATACCAAAATGAAGTTTAGAGCTAGGAAAACAAAAGAACATGGAGAAGACAATCTGGCCAAAGGTGCATTATCAAACATTCACAAATGTGTCAAGTTTGGGAAACTTCCTATTTCTCCAATGCAGAGACACAGCCAATGCACCCTAAGGTTCTGTTTCTAATAGGCGACACTTCTATTGGGGTTAAGTGCAGGTGCCCTGTTTAAAAAGTGACTGATCCAAATAAATAACAGCTTCAAAAGCTGAAAGTTACCAAGTTAAAAGCCAAAAATAAAGGTCTTAATCTCCTTCCATTATAACCTACCTATATCCCCTTTCCTGAAAAACTGTCTGACCAGAGGAATCAAGGAACTGTCCAAGTAAGTAAAAAGTGTTTGCACCGCCTAACGAAAACCATGTCTTTGTAGTGACAATGGCAATCCTGTCACGTTTCACTATTCCTTAAGTGCCTCCTGAAAAGGTGTATTCAGGCACTACCTAAAATTATTAGGCTTCCAAATTTGTGAAGCAGTATTAAATAGTGGACGATTTTTTTTTTTAACTCTGGGCTGAGAACGGAAGTCAAGTTCAGATTCTCTTCCTTCCTCAAGCGAGCAACTGAATTAAACAGCACACGCACACACACCCTACAGAAAAAAAAATATATATCTCGAGGCTTTCTTCACCTGTGGCAATCGACACAATAAGTCCAGATTTGCTGGGATTTAAGGCTCTTCTCTCGGGGAGTGAGGGGGAAGGCGGGTGGGTGAGGGGAGTACAGGAGAGAATGAACGGGTGCCTAAGTTTTCAATCGGATCATTTTTCTCAACTTAGGCAGCTCTTTCTTTCTTTCCTTCCTTCCTTCCTCCCTCCCTCCGGGCCGGAGCACACACTCAGCTTTGCCAGCACGGGCACCAAGGCCAGGGCCCGAGGGTGGCGCTGCCGC